AGAACACAGCACTCCTTTGTCTAGGTTAGAGCAATGCCCCTCCATGCCCTTTGTTTGTTTTGTTGCTTCTACAAATAATAGGCAAGTCCTCAGTAGGTTCAAGCCAACTGAGTAGAACAGTATTTGCCATTTCTTACTTGACAATGAGTTCTTTATCATAGGGTGGGAGAAACAGAGCAACAACTCCACCACATTTTTCTTTTTACCTTGATTTCATGATAAATGTGGGTGGCATGAGAATTACCAGACGCTAATGTCAAATTAAGGTACTACTTAAAGGCTTTTTTCTTTTTTCCTGGTGATGGGGACGAATCTATTAAATATTGGTTTTTCCCAGGGTCCTCATTGCTCTGAAGATTCTAGTCTGACCTTCCTAATTTCCCTGTAGGATTAGGGGGGATTGTTAGAAGTAATCGGGAGGGAGAGGACACGGTGCCTCATTCAGGGGTTACAAACTGTAAATCTACTGTGCCGTGCCCACAGCGATAGGAGAGTGAATAAAGTGGGCTGGGAAGAAAAACAGGCCCAGTAGGGCATGTGGCCACAAACGCAGGCCCAATGGTGCCTAATCTGTTACCACTTCAAAAAAAGATCCAAATATGGAGGGTGTGTGCGTGTGAAATTCTGGAGTTCAAAAAAACATTGCAGGTCAAACAAAGCACATCTGGAGGCTGCAGATCTACTACCCCAACTCAGGACCTGGACAGGAGATTTTAGTGGAATCCCAAGAGCAGAAATGRGAGTAGCTGAGTTGTATTTGTTCCAGCAAAGACATGGGAGTCCAAAAGACAGCTTTAAGAAAGTATGTCTCTGATACTTCTTCATGAAAACTGGTGAAGGATTTAGTGTTTGGAAACAGTTTTAGGTTGCTCAACTGTGTACTTTGGACAGCCCTCTAGCCCTGAATTATTTAGGTCACTGTTCTACAAGTGCGTGTCACTTCATAAATGAGAAGAAGATGTTTCTCCCTGCAAGCTACCCAGAACGTTATCCTGTCATCCTACATTATATTTGAGTTATTCCTCTCTTCTCAAGGCAAGGAAAAATCATCTCTGCCTGGTTAATTAATAAAAAGGGGAATCAAGAATTTTATTGTGATTCATGCAACTGGACAAATAAACGACTCTCTCAATCCCTTGCAGGTTTTAAAGACTCTTTGGATAATAACATGGATTATTATCCAAATTTTAGAAAAAGATTATTATTAAAGAGAAACCCCAATGATTTGGGATAGATTGTCCCAAATCTAACCAAAGGATGACTCCATGGGAAGTGAAGAGACTGTTGATAAGAGAGGCGGGTTTTAGCTAAGTTAGGATATTTGAGGCCTGGCAAACCTCTAACACCAATTTCTGTTTCCAGTAACAACTTTGTAGTACTTGGTATCTAAACTGTTTGGTATCAGAGGTAGTGACACTGTCTGAAATAGTCTTCAGGATATATTTTTCTCTTAGAGGGTAGTGATGGAGTTTTCTCCTTAAGCACATCCTTAAGCAGGGATCAGTGCTTCTCATATTTTCATAGGCAAATGTCCCAGCCGTGGGCATATTATATGTTGACTAGGCATGGGATGAGAATTTGCATTGTTAACAAACTCACAATTGAAGCTTCTACTTGATTTGAGTAACAAGAAATTAGAGGCTGACGAATAGTAGTATATAGGATGTGCTGATATGGTGTAGATCAATTCCTTTCTCTTCTGGCATTAGCTGTCTGACTTCACTTTGGAGGGAACATTTTCTTTTTATATTCCTCTTAATCTCCTTCCATTCTAACCACTTGTGAAAGAGTCTGTTATGTGACCCATCAGCATAAATTTTCAGGTAATCCAAATTGTCTGAAGATTTTCAGACCTCACATTTTGTTAAGCACTCCCAAGAAAGAAGCTTTTTTTTTGGGAAAATGGTCTGGAGTTTCTGGTGCCTATTATGGAAGGGGTGCCCTCCAGAGATTACAAGAGGAAGAAGAACCAAGAATGAAAACAGAAAGTTTCCTAATAATGTCTTTTGAGTGCCTAGATCCAGCCATGCCTGAGGTAGATATACCCATCTAGCCAGTTACTTGAAATAACTGTATGCTTAAATTAATTTGAGTTTCTGTCACTGCCAATGGCATTCCGTGGTTAAAAAAAAACCAAAACCCAAAAGAAACAAAACACAACCCAATTCTCTTATCAATCATATGAGTTACTATAAAATTGCCTACTATAAGGACACATACACAAACTGAACTAGCAATTAGGTGACAAGCAATTTTATTTTGCAAAACAATCACTATACAGCAACAAATACATTTGCAAATTTGATTGAAAAACATGAGCTAACTACAACCAGCCATTGAAGAAATGCCTTTCTATGGTAACAGGCTCTAGAATTATCAGAAGAAAGAAACCCCCCACAGATTTGTCATGGTGCGTTGGAACCTTGGAATCCCAGCATACAAAGTATAATTTTGTTGATTTTTTTTTCTTTTTGCTAAAGTTGAAGTGGACTTTTATGATTGACAATTTTGAGTTTGAAAATAGTCTTTTTCCTGCTGAGGGACTTGGCCTCAAACCTACCTCAAACCCAGGCTAAAATTTCTAGGTGTGAAAAAACAAACATCAGTGCTGATTTTAGCACATCAGTCTTTGAAGGAATGCCTGGAATTTGCCTTCCTAAACCATGAAGTCAATCTACTTTATCTTTGTTTCTTAGACCACAAATGGTTTCCTTTCCTTCTTCTGGCATTAAAAAATAGGAGAAAAACTATAATCACAGCTATGTCAGAATCAACATTTAGATTATTTCTTTGATAATGCTGACATGCTGTTTTATTTTGGCTGATGGTCCCAGTTCTGCTGTATTACTCTATGTGTGTGTATGGAGAAGTCTGGGCATGATCTGTACATTCTCCTTTTTAATGATACTGTTGCTTCAGCCTTCTTCAGCCATAACTCACAAAGGTGTCTTACTTATGGGTGGGACTTCAGCCCATCACCCTGCTGGAACTCAGCAGGTGAATCCAGAGAGAGTTGGTTCCTAAACGAACATGGCCTTGAAAGCTCATCATGAACTCGGATCATTCCTGCATTGTTGCAAGGTATCCAATTTTCAGTTGCAGGTGACCCAGAGAGAGGGAGTTCATTGGAGAAGATGGCCTTTTAACTCTTTAGAACTCTGGATTACTTATGTATTCTTAAACAGGTTCTCAAAGGCTAAAGCCAGAGAGAAACTGGCATTAGAGGATCTAGAAATGGAACTAAGCAGCTTTCATTTCTAGATCAGCGTATGTGTCCCCACAAAAGTGGTGTCCAAAAAGCTTAATTTGAGTCGTTATCTTAAGAGTGAAGGCAAGATAGGCTCCACCCCGTTGTCCCATAAGAAGACATTTTCACTCTGTGCTTTTCTCTCTTGCTGGCACAAATTTTCAGTCTCTTTTTGTTAGCTTTATAAAGAAAGAATCACATTTTCAGACAAAACAAGGGCATTGATGTATTACAATTTTGTTGTGATTAGAAATAAGCATTTGTTTTAGTGCCAAATGTATTAATCTTGTATAATTTTTATTTTGGACATATGTTTTGGACATGTATTTATAAGAAAATGAATTTTAATATATAAATCATATTTACTTTGTCTTAACTTTTATTAAAAAAAACATTAAACTAGCTTGAAAAGAATTTTTTTCAACATTAAAACTATTCTAACCAGCTGTTAGCTTACTTTTTTTTTTTTTCTAGAGAACTTTAATCACTAACTAACAGTATCAAAACATGTAAGAAAATACCCTTGGTCTCCACACACCGATTCCGTCTCCTATTTTCTGGTGCACTTCAAGGGAACATGATGAATAAATTGCCCAGATTGATGAAATCTCACAGYAATTACTAGGCAGAAAACAGACACATCCATAAACCTACTCAGTGATTTCTAAGTTTTTAAAAAAATAACAACTGATTTATAAATGGTTTAAGACATGTGTGCCTGTGTAAACCCTAGTGGAGAAAGGATGGTGAGGTTTGTTCCCAGTGTCCCTTGGGACTGTCAGGTTGCCATGTCCAAAAGGTCACAAAGTGGTRCCTGTGTCTCTCTGTCTTTGCCTCCCTTGGCTTTTTGCCTATGATGCTCATTGCTGTCTAGTCCACGCCCATCATCACAACCTTTATATTCAGGAATGGATTTGACATATAGAGATCAAAGACCTAGAAGAATATTTTATTTCAACCATTCAGATCCAGCCTACCAGCCCTGAGCAAGAAAAAGAACATGTAAAATGCTAAAAAGTGTCCATCCCAGTTGGGATAATAAGTCCTTGCCTTATTCAGGCCATGGACTATTTCAATGATTATTCGTCAGTCTAAGATGAATGATTTGTAAGTAGACTAACTAATTCACTTATGATTTCTAGACTATATATAAAATCAAGACAATGTTACCTACTGATAAATAATACTAACTCACATTGTGTTCTTCTACAGAGCACAATGTCGGAGTTCTGGAAAAAAACTGAGTTAGATATCTGTGTCTCAAATGTTTTGTAGCTACAGCTCCTCAAAATATTTTTCCTTTCTGATCAGGGGATCTTTATTTTGGGTAAGGAAACCAAACACCTCCTGTCAGAGAATTTAATAAGCGGGTACTATTTGAAAGAATGGGAACACATGTCCCAAATTACCACTCTTAGTTTCAACTTTAGCAAATGAAAAAAGAAAGAAAGAAAGAAAAAAAAATAAATCTTAAGAAGTTGGTTTCATGAATGATTATAGGAATAAAACCCAAACTATTGTGTGATTAAAAATGAGATATATCCATAATCTAAACCAACAATCTGTAAACCCTTTTATGTATAACTGGACCCACCCCCACAAACTCCACGTTGGTGAAAGCAAAGAAAAATAATTTTTTCTAGCATCACGGGAGAGACTTGTATCTGGCACTAAAACAGGGTTACAGCTTTGAGTTGTTACGGAAAGCAACTTCATGCTAAAACTTTTTGTCTTTTTTAATGTATTTTTTTTTAATAGGGAAGAGAACCCTGCTAACATCTACTTTCACATACCTAAAATCGCAACACCAAAGGGTGCAGGAGACACAGATACTGTGAATAAAGAAGTATAATATTCAAGTATATGAGGAAGTATCACAAATGGCCACAGAGAAATATATATATATTTATATCTATAATACTGTATCAAACAGATGGAAAGGGGGTGTGAAACTGGTAGTGTGGACACAAATCTAGCCAATCAACTGACATTCTAATCAGACATGAGTCCATCCTAATGAAAGTGCGTCATTCCTAAGAGATGCACTTTTACACCACTTCCTTAACCACAGCCCAAATGCTTTGTAACTAGTTTTTAGTTAGTTAAATAATTTATTGGATTGACATACTCTGATATAATTATCCAGGTCCCAAATGTTAATAACTTAATTGCATCTTTCTTCCCATTTATACAAAATAACACTTTAAAAAAACGTATTTCTTACATGCTCTTCCCTTCCTGCAATCAGACTTCTTGATTTAATTTAACCTGAAATAAGTTACAATGGGCAGTTTTTATCTTTTCGCCCAGAAACAGAACATTGAAATGAGCAGCTTGRATTTTTAACAAGGCCTTTCAGAATGTAGTGGGTAGCCTTCAGGCACATGAAAGGTAAAAATGCAACTTTTAAAATAATAATAATACTCCATGCAAAACAGAGCAGAGCGAAAATAACTGTCCAATTGAACCCATGTAAAGCCAGTATGTTCCTGTTGAAAATGGAAATCAGGTCAATTTCTGCATATACTATTCATTTTTTTAATAAAATTTTAACAATTACTACAGTTTGGGGATGAGATTATTTATCTTATGGTTTGTAAAGAATGGATGTAACACCTGCTCAGAGCCCACTCCTGCCAAGAGCTCATGCCTAAATATTATGACTCCAGTGCTAGATGAGAAGTATTCATAAGCCCTGCTTAGCGAGTGCCGCAGTGACATCCTCAGCCAAAGTGGCAAGCTGAGGAGATTCGAGCAGGTTGATGCTTCCAGATGAGGAGACGTTGCTGAGTCGCCGGGGTGATGCCACGCTGGATCTGCCTGGGGACTGCGTAATGATCTCAGCCCCGTGGTCCACGCGGGCCTTAGCGTGCTCTCTGAAGTTCAACTTTTGGCTGTCAATCTGTTTGAGACAAGCATCAGTTCTCATTAACTCAAGCATCTTCACTGGCCCCTGACTCTTTCCCTGTGTTTCAGAGCTGATACTAATGTGACTTCTTTCCAGCTCTGCCATTTGTCTAGGTCTTCAATCTGGGACCCATTTTGACAAAGGCTATTTCACAAGAACTTTCTTTTTTTTTTTTCAAGACAGGGTTGACTCAGGTTTTTGTTTCCTACCTTGACATTACCACCTCCAGGTACATGGTGGGCGTTGTCAAGTGATCCCACTTTCGCTTGGGCTTTTTCTTTGAAATCCAGTTTTACACTCTCAATTTTCACACGTCCACCACCTTTGAGAGGAGAAAGATTTTTAAATGCCTTGCTAAAATTAAATCTTATATTGTGATGACTATTTACCCCAAATGATTATAGTAGATAGACCAGTGAAGACTACAAACTTATTACCTCTTCTATCCCTCTGAGAGTGAAAGGAATGTAAAAGGAATCTTTTAGAATTTGTAGTACATACTATTTTCCCCATATGAAAAAGGTGATGATATCCTTYTTATTATCTTATATGAATTGCCTCACATGTTAATACTTTTCTTCTTTACTTGTGTCTACCTTAGAAATCAGAGCAGGTTTTATTATTGGTGTCATAAAACAAAACAAAACAAAACAAAAAAACACAACAACAACAACAAAAACCTCTGAAAGTAACAACAAAAATAAAACTTTGGACTCTCAGTTTTTCAATTCTAGTGGAAAAAGTTAAATTGCAATGAAATTCTTATGGTAACAAGTCAATTTATCAAAAAAAAAAATTTAGAATAGAATGGTACAAATACCACAGATCCTGAATCTTGGATTGAAAATATTTTGGAGAAAAAAATTGCATCAGCACTGAACACATACAGACTTTTGCCCTATAATCTCTTAAACAATATGACTACTAACACACACACACACACACACACACACACACACCATCCATGTTTAAAACACTAGGTAAACTAGGGATAGAAGGAACTTACCTCAACATTGTATAGGCTACAAACCTAGATATATGTATGATACACGATACTACAACATGATACTATAACAAATATATATATATATATATATATATGGTGGCATAACGACTATTTGCATAGCATTTACATTGTGTCAGGGATTGTAATTCTGAGATGATTTAAAATATACAGAAGGATGTGCATAGGTTAAATGCAATGCTATGTCATTTTATATAAAGGATTTGAGCATCTACGGATCTGAATATCTTCAGGGGGTCCTGGAACCAATCCTCCATAAATACTGAGATGACTGTCTTCATCTGTAAGTTTTCAACATTGATAACTTCATTAATGAAATAAGTCAGGAGCTGAGTTGTTTATGACCTTTAAGACCTTGCCACCTTAATTAGCTCTTGGAGTCATGGAGAAAGGATCTTAAGATTCTTAGACAGATGCCGCAGGATCAATCTGACCCTGACTTTGATCTGATAATACTGGAACAGAGTTTTGACCTTGCCATTTCCTCTAATGCTAACTAGTCTGAGACTCGAGGATCTGCTGATTGTTAGAGTGCCACATTCTACCCTTCACTGAGGTTTTCTGCTGGGATTATAGGTGTGCACCAACACTCCTGGGGCTAGACTATGGATCCTACTTGTTGGTCGTGATGGGATTAGCGTGATTCATAATGATTCACAAAAAACTAATTATCTTGGATAGACACTGGAGGATGTTGGGCTTTCAATGACATAAGATCAACCTCTTTCTTACTTTCATATTTTCTGATAGTCTCTGACATTAATTGCTCTCAAGCTTCCTTTTCTGAACATGTATTGTCTCAGCATAATTTTGTTGTTAATTTTTTTCAAACTCAATTTTGAAAGGAAAAGAAAAATAAAATTCAAATATGGACCCAAAATATATTTTTTAAAAAAGGAAACTTGAGTAGTCTAATTCTGTTGATTTCCCACTGGAAATTCTTATTTGACTATCAGAAAAAMAMATTTGAATTCAGATATCTAATCCTTCAATTGTGAAGAACTCTGGCACCCATGAGGAACTGTAATTGTGAAAGACTAAAATATTTGTCAAGTTTCAGAAGGGAAGTGCAGATATTTCGATTTGTGCCTCCAGGTGTGGAATTGTTTGCTTTACTTTCTCCTTAGATACCATATATTTCAAAGGAACTTGGTAAAGTGCTTGCTGTTGTCAAGGATCATCATGGATTACTTCATTATGAATTTAGTCTTCTGATTCAATTACAATAGAACCGAGAGCCAGATTTAGAAATAGGTGGGAGTATCTGACAATCGTCTTTAATGACCAATAAATCATACATAGAATATGATTTGCTTATTTGTGTAAGATTTTCTGTGCGTCCCAGCCCCAAGTGAATTCAATTAACTTTATCTTCACTGTCTAGAATGAAAGAGCCCAGTTTTTGTTTGATTGTTTGTTTTTTGTTTTTGTATTCTGCAAGAAATTGACTGAGCAGTACAAAGTCAACTATGTGTTAACAGACTCCAGCTTTATAGAAAGGGAAATTATGAAGATATGCAGTATGGGACACATCCCTGCTGTCTCTTGAACAGCAGAAAAGCTAATTCCAGTTTCTAACTTCTTGACTTGCTTCATAAACATCCTTTGACAAAAATGAAAGAAGCCTGGTTTCTGGATATCTCCAAAGTTTTTATACATTTTGAAACTTATTCTATCTATCTTTGTTTTCAACCAAGAAGTTCTTAGTAGTCTTCTCCTGGCCAGAGGTCTTATTCAGCCCAAATGTTTTTTCCATATTTTTTATTGGTATATTATAGTTATACATAAAGGTGGGATTCATTGTTACATATTCATACACATACACAAAATAATTATATAACTTTTTCAATATCATTTCCCAATATTTCTCCTTTTCCTCCCCTCTGCCCTCCCTGCCTGGTTCCTTTCCTCTACTACACTGATCTCTCTTCAATTTTCATGAGAACTCCCACCTTTCTTTCCTTGTTCCTCTTTAGCTCCCACATATGAGAGAAAACATACAGCCCCAGACTTTCTGAGTCTGTCAGCTCAGTTACATTTATACCTTGTTTCTGATTTGAGACAATGATTAATGGAAATAATCTACTACCTGGTTTAGAAGTTAAGATGCCAAATGTGGATGGTTACAACCAATTACTTTCCTTTTGTCCTTACATAATCCAATATAAATTGTATCAAGATATTTTCAATAAAATCACACACTTGACAGATATCCATTATTACACACATAGAAGCAGAATTTAGCAAAAATATATAATATATGATACTCAGAGAAAACAACTCATATTATGTTAGACTTACACATTAAAGGGTGACCCCCACCCTTGCAAAGCAGGTATGAATATAAATTCTACTTTAGAGCAGTAATCCTAAAAGATATTTCAGAACACTGAAATGGGGTCTATGGTCAAATAAGTTGGAGAAGCAGTGCACTGTGCTGAGGATTCATAGTTTTGATTGACCAGGTAAAGGATGTGGGAAATTCATCAGATACATAAGTTTCTTTGGTTGTGCTAAGGACAGTTCTTATTTTACAGAATGTAGGCAAACAATTTCATAAAAAATGTTTGTAAATACTGCTTTTGGAGTCAATCTTACTATGTATGAATTCATAATTGAGAGTATTTAAGACTATATGTTTTKAAAGGTCTCCAATAAGCATGTTGAACACAGAGACCCATGCATCCATGCACCTTTTAGCTCTTAACCTGTTCTATGACATGTGGCCTATTAATGGTAATTGGGTTCACTTGTCTCAAATGAAGATGCCTTGAAATTTTTAACTTAAGTTTCTCTCAATAAAAGCATAAAATATCAGGGTTTTTGAAATATCCTTCAAATTAGATGTTTCACAAGAACAAAAAAAAAAAAATGCTTGCCAATTTCCTGAATCCAATTAGATATTTCTCAAAGTACTAAAAAAATGGTTCATTTACCTGGTCTGTGGCGAATATTCTTCAGTGAGCCACATTTGGATGTCACATGGCTTAAGTCTATCTTCTTGGTGACAATTTGTACCTGTGTGAATCACATAAAACACACTTACAATAGTTTTAGACATGGAAAAACCCCAAACTCATACAAAAAATCTGGAAATATGCACATTTACCACATGCAATGGCATATCCAGAAATCCAAATTGAGGTATATGCTTACAAATACACACACACATACACACACACAGGAAAACATACTTTCCATATGTTTTCCCCCATGTTTGGAGTGGAAAGAAGAGAACCCAAATGAATGAAAATCCTGGAACAGAAGGTTTTATTAATAGAAAACAGATCATGCCATAAAAGCATAGAAATATCTGTATTAATAAGGCCAGCTTCCAATCAGAGAGCTAAATCATACCATATTAAACCTTTCCAAAAGCAAAGAGCCAAGAGAAGTGATGCATTATTTTTTTATAAAGTGATTTTTACATAGAAGTGACCAACACTGCTCACAGTTACAAAAATCAGCATTAAAGGTTTAAGATACAAGAAGAAGGTTCTAAATGTGCTTTCCTAAACTGTTACAAAATTGCCATATCTTGGCTAAATGGGCTTTTTCTTACACAACAAGTTATAAAATGATAGCAACATCTTTTTTCTTTTTATCTTTTATTGAAAATGTTTCCTCTTCCAATATTTGAAGCAGTGCTGCTGCAAGTGATCCATTGTCCATTTGCATCAGTTGTATGTGGGAAATACTAAGACAGGAAGGGATGAGCTCAGAGTGTCTGCATATTTAAACAAGTGCTTCTTTTCTAGAGGGAAGTTTAAGACTATTGTTTTGGAGGTTTGAGGCTTCAACTTACTTTAATATCTTTTTTTAAATTTATTTTTTAGTTGTCAATGGACTTCATTTTATTTTTTTGTATGTGGTCCTGAGAATCAAATCCAGTGAGGTAAGCATCCTACCACTGAGCCACAACCCCAGGCCCACTTTAAGATCTTTAATTATCCTAATTTGTCCTTTTCTACTGTGTTTTGACCAGCAGTGGCTGCAATACAAGGTAAGATGCTCCATTTTCTGTTACCATTAAGGGAATTATCAGGACTGGAGCTGCTCCTGTGACCACCATGTGCTGTTTATTTACAGTCAGGGAAACAGGGAGGAGGGTGACCATGTCAGTGTAAATACTGACTCTGAGGCTCAGACCAGAATCCTTGAAGGAGCCCAGCAGACAATCCTATGGATTTCCCATGGTAATGATATTTTTATGCTCAGCAACAGCTCCTTGTAGAAAACACTTATTTCTTCCTCCTCATTGCTCAACTCCATTTCTGCCCAGTTGAGGAATGAGTAGCCAAGAGTTATCAGAGTATTAAGGATTCTGTATTTGATACCCTGAAAATTACTTGAATCACAGATTATGAGAGCCTGCAGTTTAGATGACAAGATCTATCAAAATAGAGTTAGCATGATCTGCCTTTTAAAAGTTATTCTTATTTTATGAAGAAACATGCTTTTCTTTTTTTTTAAAAGCTTGGGTTCGTCTGACTCCTTTTACTCTGCCTCAACCACTCTTAAGAAAATAGGGGTTCATTTCTTAGTTCCTTTCATAGAACATTATTTCCACTAAATGAAAGAGGGAAAATCCCAGCAAGATAAATGTGTACTAAGACTTGAATCCCTTCACTCTGAATTATAGATGAATCATGCTTTGCCAGTTCTTTATTATTCTAAATGATATCCTTGCTCTCATGAATAATGAATGACTGAAGGCTGACATTACATACTTTGGGCACTTTCAAGTGTTCTCAGTCTTTGTCTCAAGGGTAATCTAAATGGAGCTGGAAAAGGATGAGCCAGCTGATTTTTTCAGGGAAATAGAGACAGCAGGAGGAAATACCTTGAAGACAAAAAGGCCAGCAAACCAAGTTGRTAAGTAAAGTGGGTTTGCCATCCTCTGGAAAACCATGTGCATCCTGACAAGGTTTTCTTTTCCAATGCAAAGTGAGAAATTCRCTGATGATCTTACAGGAAAGGATGGGAAGTCCATCACCCACGATGCAAGGMTAACAAGCTACCACACCAGGTGACAAGTGCACAGCAGTGAGAAGGGAGGAGTGTGTTGGGGGGAGGCAGGAAAGGAAACCAAGAGCCGGCTGTGCAGRTAGCTCCACACAATCAGGACAGCTTTCTGATTGAAGCTTCTACTTACATTTCCGCCCCCAGCAGAATGTTTGATGTTATCCTTGGAACCACATCTTGACTGAACTTTGCTAAAATCGATCTTCTTGTTTAAAATCCTAACCTAAAAGGAATTGGATGTAACTTCACTGTGCATTTTTTCTTTTAAGATGCTGGGTAGAGAGAACCCGAATGTATAGCTCCAAAAAGGCCCCAGACTCCCTTCATGTACATAGTTATTTAGGAGAAAAAACTAACACTGGAACAGAAGAGCAGTTAAATCATGTAAATATGAACCCCTATTTTTTCTGTCCCTCAAGGGACAAATGCCAGAGAGCCTTAGATGTTCCAGTTGTACCCAGGTATAATCTAGAAAAAACTGGAGGGACAGAAAAAGAAAACTTGTATAGACTTGGATTGTCTGTGATAGGGAGGCAGCCAATCTTGTTGGCATCATTGGGTCTGAGTGGTATATAGTCCACTGTGGTTCAGCCCAGGGTCCTAGAGGACAAGCCAGTGGTCCCATGGTGTTAGTCATCACAACTCTTAATCATCTCCTCCACTGGACTTGCCTGATCTGTTCATCTACACTCTCACAATTGGTCTGGCTCATGGCTGCAGGTCAAGATTTCAGGGTTCTCATTTGCCCTGGAGGAAAAAGCCTGGGTCAACAAAGAGACTCCTGGCTTGCTCTGTTAAAAAGGACTATACAATTCTCTTATAGTTTTGGCTCCATGGCCTTCTGGAGTCCCCTTTCTGGCAACTGCTCAAGAACAATCATCACCCATAGATGACCTCATGGAAGCATTTCCACTTCCAGAGGTAAGGAAACAAAGGCCCATTGGTTAGCTGTGTTGTATTGGGTCATACATAGTCCAGGCTGTGGGTGGGCCCAGMAGATTAGAGGTGAGGTACTTTATTTCTATTTTCAGAAAATGCATGTATTTTGAAGACAGTAGCAGATCCAGACCTGGAAAGACATTGTTCCGGTGTAATATAAAGTACAAAGCTGTGATCTTGTGGCTTTTTATATGTGTCTTTTGAACTCTGCATGTTTTGAAGGATAGATAAACATGAAAAGAAAAGTTGTTATTGTTATTACTTGTTTGTTTTGTTTTGTTTTTGGCTACTGCTACTTCTCTTTTCCCACTCTACAGCTAAAGAGAGATCATATTTTTGACACTTTAGGAGAAAGTTTAGCTTCCTATTAAAACAAAACAAACAAACAAACAAACAAAAAAACCAAATTCACTACATATACAGCCATCTCCAAGAATGTTAACACATCTCTTGGTATTTGCAGAAAAGAATTTAAATTCAAAAGGACATTGAATCCTGACTATTTTTAACTAGGCAAAGCTGAAATCACAGTGCGTGTCTAACATGGACGAGACAGCTTGTCCCTTACAGAGAAATTTAATTGACAGCTCTCATTAGCAGCCTAAGGGAAGGGCCTCTTGTCAAAATTTGAATTCAGAAGACAAGATGACTAGGGTATTTTCTAGGGCAAGGTAAAATTTTTAACTTAAAATGTGTGGGGGACATCACAGAGTCCACATCTAACATTGTAAGTGTTGTATTGTAAAAGTTTCACTTAAACTGCAGATGCAGATAGTTTTAGACCAATACAAACCATTGCATTTAAAACATCATAAACAAATTCTTTTCAGGAAACAAATAATTATTGATTTATTAAATCTAATAATAATACTTTAAATTATTCTCCATGAGTAACTAGTTATTTTGGAAATGAAACAGTTCGTGTGAGCCATTTCAGTAAGCCTTGGAGAAAACAAAGTATTTTATTTTATATTTCATTTATAAATTTTAATTTAGAAATCATGAGAGTACCAATCAAGTGACTCATTACTAAGTGATCCAAAGCCAAACACTAAATCAGATTCACTTATGGCAAACATGGAAATTCCAAATTCAGTTGCATAAATCTGTTTTGACTTTAACATTTAATCAATTGTTTGACAACTTTTATGATTTCCCAAACTAATGATTCAATCCCAAAGCGTCACACTGCCAGCATTATTTGAAGATGATTTAGAATCCTAAAATCCTGAAACTTAAAAGCTAAGTTTTGTTAATTTCCCCCAGATTTTCTAGAGCGTTATATACTTTCCTGGGACACAACTAGCTGCCCTTTTTTGGTGACAGACTTTCTCAGCCTATGTCTGCTCATCCTGTAATGTGAAGTAGGCTTYAGATGTGCATTAATGGCAAATGTTTTATGAACTCCTATATTGCAATAACTTAGTGAATTATTTTATCTAAAGGCAAAGGATGACAGAATAAATATAAATGGTCCATTTAGACCTTCATTCAACAACTTGCTTAATGGTTGAGGGGAGGGAAACAAAACCACTTTGGACAGAGGACACTTGATATTTACCAAGATTTAAGCTCTAGTTTGACAACTTAGATCTGAGCACCCTTATGACTCTTATTTATGACTTCGAAATATTACAAATTACTTCTCACCAAAGATCTCTTGGGTCATTTAAAAATAATTGACACCTTAGCACTAATCCCACAAATAACAGGAGTTTTCAGAAGTCATTCCATGGAATAGAAACATAGGTGGCTGCTATGAAAGAGCCATATTTCAGATCAGCCTTTTAAAATCAAAGAGCTGAGTTTTAACTTTCTGGATTTTATGGATGGGTCTAAATAAAAATATAGTTTTTTGAGAAGGAATTTTCAGTTCAGAAAACCCCCCCTTTTTTTCCCCTAAAAGCCTATGTCAAGCAAAAATCATTTTAACATCTTGGAGATTATCGAGGAAAAAATATAGCAAACTTCTATTTGACAAACAAATTTTCTACGCTCATGGTATGCAAGAAAAAAATGGAATAACAATTATTACTCAAGAATATCTCTAAACC